GTTGCCGGTCCTGGTCCAGTATGGGCGCAACACTGAGGGTTGCGATCCGTTGCCGGACACGGAAAAAAAAATAAAAAATAAAAATAAAAAAATAAAAATAAAAATACTAACTTAAGGTAATCCAACAACTTTTTGTAGGTAAAGCTATCATCTCTATTTTACGGATGAAGAAACTAAGACATGGAGAGCTTAAGTAACTTGCCTGAGGTTGTACAGCCAGTAGGTGGTGGAGCCAGGATTGAAACCCAGACACACTGATTCCTCATGTGGTACAGTTAGCTGCTGCCCTATTAATTTTGGAATTATGTGCAGGGCAAGAAATTATCACTCCTTACTACCTGATTTTGGCACCATACAGAGAACAAATACTGGCCTTTCAGATAAAATGGGGAAAAAACTATGCCTATTATTTTGGATTTTACATGTTTCCTCCAGGATCGGTCTTTCATTCCCACAGAATGTCTTTCTGTCTGTTTTTCTCTGCCTTTCTCCCAGTACTGTAGTTTTCATTAGCCGTCCTGTGGATGTGATGGAGCCTGCCCTTTGGCTGCCTTTTCCAGTTTCTATGGGTATTTCCTTTCAGTCTTCCAGCAGGCAGAGAAGAATGTGGCCTGACTCAGGTTCTGCCCAAGCTCTGTGGCACAAGGCCCACCTGGAGAGAGAGGTTTGGGTAACTAGGTTGGTTGAACTGAGAAATGGAAGTACCTCTTGTTTGCTTTTCTAATAATAGCCCTGAACATTAGCCTCGTGCCATTATTTTGGGGAGTGTGGAATGTGTAGCAGCCACGAGCTTATTAAGCTTTATTTACTTCCCTCCAGGGATGAAGCTTTGACAGGTTTATGACTTTATTCCTTTTATTGAAGGGGGAAACCGAGGCATAAAGACTTCATCAGGGAGCAAGGGGCGGTTAGGGAAACTTAGTCAGTCAGTGTCAAGGTTGGGACTAGAACCAAAGAACCTCAGTCTCCGAGGTTCTACACACTAGGCTGCCCTTCACAAATGGGGAAGTGAAGGGGTAAGGAAGTGGGACGGGTAAAGGAGAATGGTGCTGAAAGATTGGAAGGATCAGATGCTGCAAGCTTCTTGTAGCTAGTAAGATTGGAAAATATTTTGAGTGCGGGGGCTGCATCTGGAGGGCTGACTGCAAGGGTGCTGGACAAAAGTTAAATTTAACCTCAGTATCCAACCCTGTGCTGGGGTAAGCATTGGGAAGGGCATAGAACAACTAGCAAAAGGCTGAGTGCTCCCCTTTCAGGAATTCAGTGATTGGCGTGTGCCAAATGGGTTTTGTAAGCCCTCTAAACACTTTAGATCCACTCTCATGCTCCTGTCCAATGTTGGGAGAGTTTCGAATGAAATATCAACCTAAGGCCTCTGTGCTCTTAAGATGAGATTTCCTAGGGAGATGGGGAATAGGTTAAAACTTCTTTACAGACCTCCCCTTCTGGGGAGGACCCAGCAGAACCCTGGTCATTGAAAACCCTCTCACTGGCATGCTGGGATAACCTAGCTTCAGGACTGTGATATTGCCACGGATGCCCTGCTGTAGCCCGGAGGCTGGGGTGTTTTGACTTAAAATGCTAGAAGGTGTGAGGCTTCCTGGAATGATTAAATGTCCCTATTAGTGTCAAAGTTTCTGTGGTTAAGAACGTGGTGATGGTAGTGGGATGAAAAGGAGGTTGGTGGGGAGAGGAGCTTTATCCAAAGGGGGAACCCTTCATAATGCTATCTATTTATAAACATGGCTTTTTTTTTCCCCCCTCTCCTGTCAAACAGCTCTTGGGTTGCAATTGGGTCTTTTGCTGCCCAGTCCCCTGAGGCACTAAGGTGTTTCCTTCAGCCTTGTGGAGTGGTAGATTGGGTGTGTAGCTTGTTAGGAGCACAAGGCTGGGTACATGTGTGTACATGCAGATTGTCTGGGTGGGACCTGGGAGGGAGGGGAGTGAGTGAGAATGCTGACCCTTAGGAGAAAGGGATAAGTGTCAAGGGCGAAGAATCACTATCTAGGATAGAAGAGTGAGCTGAGAGCCTGACAGATGTGTTGAGGACAGAAGGGGGGCGGTCATTTCTGGGATTGAGCTTTGAACTGCAAAGTGTGTGGATCTGTGTGTACTTGTACATGTATGCTTGTGCATATATCTGGCTGTTGATTTAGACTACCTGCATGATATTCTGTCCAGGATTCTAAACTCTGAGGCATTCTAGCCTGGCTCTTCAAGAGAAATGCCCTGATGGGACTGAGGAGGAAACGCTAGCTGGAATCGGATGGCTGTGCAGGCACAAACCTGTTAGGCAGCAAGTGCTTAGGGGGTTGTTGGCATCAGCTCCAGGGGAGTGCCAAATGGCTACCTCGTGGGTCCTGCCAGCCTTTCTAGACCGTGCAATACAGATATCACCCACCGTTCTCCACCTTCCCCCACCAAGTCGGCACTCTAGCTATACCTCTCTGCCGGCAAGAGCGCCCAGGAGGTGTGGGTGGCAGCAGGGCGTGCAAACGTCAGGCGTGGGCGGTCTGGCAGCTCCAGGAGTTTGCATGGAGGTGCAGCGAGCCTGCGTGCCTGGCTGGGAAGGAAGGAGGGAGGAGAAGGGTGGAGAAGGGGAGCCAGCTCTTAGCCCCAGAGTGGCTATTTTTAGCCGGGCTAGCTGATTGTTACCGGTGCTCACACAGCTGGGTGTTTCCCCTGGCTCAGCGAAGCCCAGCAGGCTGAGAGGTGGGAGGTTCTTACTGACGGCTTCTTCCTGGTCTGGGTGTCTGTGGGCGGGAGCATACAAGGGATAGCTTTAAAGGTGTGAGGGCAACTGTGTACTCAGGATCTGTCACCTCTGCGTGTGACTTTGTGCTCTGTTGGTAATGTATGCTGTGTATCATATCATGCCCTCTGTGTATGTGCTCCACTGTTACTGTGCCTGTCTTGATCTGTCCTTTGCTGGTCATTATATATAATTTATATTTGGGATGTATTTATTCTGCCTCATGTGCACATGTGTGTGGGATGAAAGAGGTGAGTGCTCATAATATAGCTAATGTGAAACATCTTCAAAAGTGTTGAGAGTGCTTCATAGTGCATATTTGTGTTTACTCAGTCTGTTTTCTTTACATGGACACTCGTGCTATGTGTGGATGTTGTATGTAAACATGACAAGTGTCACATGACTGGAGAATGGACTTAGGCTAATTTTACCTGCTATCTAGGTGGGTATTTTTTTTTAAAGAAAACTTATTCCTACATAGTTTTAAAATAGTATGTTGTAGGCCTGTAAGTAAGGAGAATGGAGGTAATTGCTCCATTTGTTGTGAGATCTAATCTCTCTTTTAGTCCTTCATGAAGGGAGAAGCTTCTTGGCCACCTCCACACTAAGGTGTAGGATGAGCAGCAGTCCAGCATCTGGTAGGCGACTGCTGATGCACCTG